TCCCTTGTAATAAACTGGCAAAAGTAAGGAAAGTGTATCAGAGTATCGTGAGCTGTTCTAGCAAATCATGGAATGTGAGGAGCAGGTCTTGGGAACCGGTAAGGCCAAAGCCCGGGAGGCCTGGACGGCGGCTGGTGTGGCAAGCAGGGGCAGTCCTGTGGGGCTGAGCCCCTCAGCTGTGGGGTCTGTGCTAATCCCGAGTAGATGGTGTCAGAACTGAACCAGACTGGAGACCTACAGGGTGTCCGGAGAATCAGAGCTGGGGAAGTACTGGAAGGGACACATGCGCTTTGTGTCAGAGGTGGCCTGAGGGGAAGCGGCTACATACTGCACCTATCTTACTTCTGCAGGCAGACCACCAACACCATTTTTTTCCATGGGGGTAAGAGGCGGTTTATCTGTAAAAGAACAACCTGCCCACAGGGCAGCTGACTGTGGTCTCCCAGGAGTCCTGGTGCCAAGCTCCACGGAAAGCAGAGGCCCCTCACCGGGAGGATGCTGCGTTAGGGGGAAAATACCCAGTGCCTGAGAGGTGCCGCTGCTGCACGGGGTGCAGGGAAGCAAGCCCACCATCACACTTCCTGTGGGAGGCCTCAGAGGCCGCTTTCCCCAGCTGGCCTCAGGACAGCGCAGCTCCTACAGGACAAGGTGCATTCCCAGCAAGCCTACTGCGACCGCACCTGCCGAGCACTCGCCTTCCCCCCTGAATCCTCTACCAGCTCTGAGAAGCCCATCTCACAGATAGAGAAACTGAGGCCTTGGAAGCAGCTGGTCCACAGGCGTCTCCCCCTTTGCTTACTTACTACCTCAGAAATCCACTTCCCTAACCCACTGCGGAGGGGCAGCCAGCGCTGGAAACCAAGGGCGACCCTGGCCTGCGTCAGCAGAGCCCAGGTGCTGCCCGTTTCAGCAGGTCTTCCAACCTGGGGAAGCTGCTTCTGCACCAAACTGGTTTCCTCTCCCACAACTGTCTGATCTTCACAAAACATCTCCAGGTAGGGCACCACAGCACAATACATAAAACAGTACCGTCCTATTGCTGGGTGTGACCAAAGGCCAGAATTGTGAACAGCGGCTCTCTAGGTGGAGCTTGTCTCGGGGGTTTAAGCAACAGATGTGCACAAACAACCACACGCTCTGCTGGTTCAAATCCCAGCTCCATCCATTACCATGGATGGCCTTGACCAGGTGATCAAGCCTCCTGGGCTCCTTCCCCCCCAGACTGGGGAGATCACCTTCCTCCAGGACTTGTCTGCAGACTAAATAAGCACCCACGTGGCACAGGACACGCCTGGACTGGGAGCCCGCCTGCCTCGGGTAGGCCTCACCTCGCCTCCTCAGCTGTCAGTGCAGGGCCGCCCTCTACAGCTCGGACAGCAAAAGCACCTCTAGAAACAGGATTCTGGCGAACAGTCAGTGTCCAGCATTTGTCCTCAATGAGAGAACATGCTGTGATTCTGAGGACCGGTCTCTAGGTAGCCCTCAGGCCCCAGCCACCCATCAGACAAGTGAATTCCTAGAGACCCTTTTTATGTTTAAAAGAAGAAAACATGGTGCACACGGTGTGGGGGGGTCATGGGGAAGACGGTGTAGCTCAGAGAAGACAAGTAGGGACTCTGTGGCATCTTACTACACTGATGGATAGTGACTGCAATGGGGTATCGGGGAACCCGATCATAAGGGGGAATGTAATAACCACACTGTTTTTCTTGTGAAACCTTCATAAGAGTGTGTATCAATGGTACCTTAATAAAAAAATAAAAGAAAAAAAGAAAAAAGAAAAAAACTGACATCTGCCCACAGGGTTTAAATGAAACCACATGAAAAACCTATTCCACCTAAAGAGGAAAACGGTGTTGTGTGTAAATGAGACCTAGAGAAAGCCCTCTCCGGCAGCAAAAGCTCTCAGCCCCAAAGCAGCTGCCACCCTGGAGCACTGCGCACAGGCCTGAGGTGCATGCCCACGGGCTCCACAAAAGGGGCCCCTGAGGAAGAGGCAAGGTGCTTGGGGCCCCACCCCAGGGCCTTCCTTACAAAGGAATGTGGCAGGAAAAGCTCACCAGGAGCAGAGGGTCCTGCACTGCCCTGCAAGACATGTACACACACCCGTGCACACGCAAAGTAAGAAAGACCAAGGATCTGAAAGACCATGTGGGATATTCAGGACACACTGGATGGCCCTCGCTGCCTCCTCAATGCCCCAGTGTGGGAGAGGACGCCCACTGTGGGGACAAGTCCTACAGCTGGGAACCACCCACTCCCTTCCCTAGAGGCGCAGGACATGGCGGTGGAACCACGGAGCACTCAGGCCAGGAAGTCTGGACAAAAGGCTCAGGTGAGTGCTAGAAACACAGCAGAAGGGGTGACTTAGCCTGACCCCCATTCCTGTGGCTTGATAGAAGGGCGGTGGGCTGGGGGAACCTGTGTGGTCTGGGTGTCCTAGCACCCTGGCTTCTGCCTGCAGCTGGCCTGAGACCCCACCACCACCGCATGAGGCTGAGAGAATGAACCTAGCTAAGCAAACAGCACCAGCCATGCCGTACGTGACACGCGGCCAGCCTCCAGGGGCCTAGCTGCCCCCAGCAGGGCCACGAGGCCACACGGACCTGGCGCTCGATGCTCCCTCCACGGGCTCCCCCACCGCCCTCAGCTGTGTGGTCTGAACGAAGGTCCATAGACACGACACGACAACTCGGCCAGAGGAAGACTCTGGAACATAGCTCTTACTCAGACCACAAAATAAAAATAAAAAGGGAGAGAAGCCTCTCTTGCCCTGGGACAATGTTCTACTTGTGGGAATGGCCCACCACTGTTCTGAGGAAGACTTCACACTATCACAAGTCATCGGTGTGCCAGACGGGAGAAAAATCCGTGCTTAAAAAACCAAGTCGAAATCACAGTGAGTAGACAATGGTCGTCGGGGTCGGGGGTGGGGGAAACAGGGCGAGCTGGAAAGGATACAAATGTCCGGCATAAGCTGAGCCGGGTCTGGGGCCTGCCGGACAGCATGGCAGCCATGCTTACCCATCCCATGCGCCAGGAGAGCTCCAGGGCCCAGGGCCTGATCCTGTGCATCCCCGCACAGCAGCCCCACCCGCTGAGGGAAGACAGAGCCTCCCGGCAGACCCCTGAAGGGCAGCGGGAAGTCAGGCAGGTACCTGGTGGATGCAGATATGGCCCCCAGCAGGGAGAGGAAGGTCTGCGTGTTGGGGACCAGACAGGCCTCAGGGAACACAAGCCTCGCTGGCCTGTGGAACCCTAACTGCCTGTGAACCTCAGAGGGAACTGACCCAGTCAACCCCGAGCTGAGCTCGAACCAGCTGCGACTGCAGCAGCACCCGCCCCTGCAGAAGAGCACTGCGCACAAATGCTGAGCACTACCTGCAGGGGCACTCGGTCTCCCCGGCCAGCCGGGCTCCACTACCACTGTCCCTCTCCAGGGGCTGCCCGCCGGGGCTGCAGGGCGGCCGACACCGGCCCAGGCACCAGCCCTCTTCCCCCACACTCCTGGGGCAGCGGACGCTCCCTGCCGGGGCCTCCCAAGCAGGGCTGCAGAGGACGCCCCGAAGCTAGCTGCGGGCACAGGCACCAGCGGAGTGCGGCGGCTCCCCTGCTAAAGGAGCCTTCGCCTGTGCAGATAGGCTGGTCTCCGCAACTCTCAGGGTGATCCGGGCTCCTGTGAGCTAGGCCCAGGAGGCCCCACCGCCAGATCCTGCCAAGTCACACCTGCTAAAGTGTCACTCAGCTCCCAGAGGTCAGCGCACTTAGTCCCATTGCTAGAGATTCGGGATGCAGGGCGGTTTGAAGCACAGCCAGGTACGAACAGGCGACTAACGAAACAAGCCACGGTTCCACAGGCCCTGGGAACGCTCCTTCCCGGAAGGCAGCAAGGCTGCTTGCAGCCCATAGCTGCGCTCGAGGAAAAGTGCCGGCACAGCCAAGCCACCTCTGAGCCAGCAAAGGTCACGGCGGCCTCTTGGTGGCACTTGTGAGGAGCAGAAACAGGCTGCCAAGAAGGCTCGTTTTAATTTAATTACTGAGCTTAAAAAAAAAAGAAAAAAAGCACCAAGTTCTGAATGTGTTCCCCCAAATTTCATGCTAAAATCCTAATCGCAAATGTGATGGTAATTGAAGGTGGGCCTTTGGAAGACGACTGGGTCCTCACAGCGGAGCCCTCCTGAGTGGGATCAGTGCCCTCCTGACAGAGACCCCAGAGAGTCCCCGGGCCCTCCTCCACGTGAGGACAGAGAGAGAAGTCTGCAGCCTGTAAGAGGGCCCTCGCTGCCCGTGCTGGCACCCTGACCTCGGGCTTCCAGCCACCAGAACTGTGAGCAATAAACTCCTGCTCTTTATAACCTGTCTCGTCCGGTATCTATTACAGCAGCTTCGATTTATATATTTATAGATAATATAAATAATCACTGTAAATGTTTAGAAACCATACATGGAGGAAAATAAAACAAAAGCCCCTGTAATCTTACCACCCAGATTACCCGTTAACATTTTTGATAAATATAACTGCTTTTTTCTGTAAGTAATATTCATAACTTGTTTTTCTTTCAACAATATTAAAAACGCCCCTCTGCACCCTCAGGTCACTGCAGACTCTGTTAAGATCACCATAAACGTACCTAACCAATCACCTGATGCCAGACATTTAGGTAATTTCCAGATCTTCACCACTAGTCATGGCCGGATGACTAACCCCAAGGCCCACCCACGGACTCGGGCGCTGTCAGGCCTGTCACTGCTGACTCAGGGACCACGCACGCTTTCAGGACCATGGAACAGGATGCGGCCCGGCTGCTCCCTGGGCAGACGGCACCCACTGATTGGCACAGCACCTGCCCCCGCATTCAAGGGACAGATGGACGCGCTGCCTCACCCGCCCGCCCATGTTCTGACTCGGATCTCTCCACTGCTAGGAATCCCCACGCTCCATCCCCATGCACCCCAGGTCTACTCCCCTTCTGGGAGCCACACCCCTGCTGGGGTCCTACCTTGTTTTTGAAGTACACCTCGATGGGCATGATGAAGCCAGCGTACCCCGACTCCTCCACCTTGTAGGGGGGCTCCTTGCACACTGAAAGGAAAGGGGAAAGGCATCTGTCAAGTCCCGGCCCGGCCAAAGCCAGCAGCAGCAGGGGGCCCACAGCTCCCCATACCTCCTCCCTGGGCTCAGCTGGCCTGGCACAACGGCGGCTTCTCCGGAGGCCAGCACCCCTGGGAGCATCAAATCCCATGCCAGCTCCCATGCCCAATCTTACGGAATTCCAAGAGGTCACAGGGAACAGAAGGAGCCAGTGCAGAGGAACGGTGACGCTGGCCGCCATGGAGGAACAGTAGGAAGGGACATGACATTAGCTAAAGCTGAACAGCCAGAGATGGCCTCTGGCCACACAAGTTCACCCAACACAGGGCAGGGAGCTGCCTGGGGCCTCGACAGCCCAGGCAGGGCAGTGCCCTACAGCATCCACTGCCTTCATCCCTCACTCAAACCCATCAGCTGAAGCTGGGAGGCGGAGATGGCCCGGTCTCAGGGGGGACACTCCCGGGTTCCGTCTTAGAGCCTAACAAAGGTATTCCAAGTAACGCAAAAAGAGACTCAACCCCAGAGGTTAAAAACCCTGACGTCAAGAAAAACAGCAATGCAGGTAAAATAGTCTCTGGCAATCTCACTCTCCAGGGTGAACTGTCAGTGCCTGACACACATGCTGTCATCACGGAAGTAACGTGCCAATGCTGTTCTCCACTTCTAAGAAAATCAGAGCCATACAGATCAAATCCCCGCTGCCCTCCACCCCTCCTGCGCCAGAGGCAACCACCATGGGGAGAGGAAAAACCCTGCCCACTGTTAAAACCTTTCTGCATGTACATCTGCACAGCGGGCCAGAAACTGCTGGCAAACAGTGTGTGGAACATAATGAGACACAACTTTTTCAATTAAAACATTTTAAGACTTTTTCCTTAAAAAAATATTTTCAGCTCTGAAATATCACACATCACAAATATCTCACGTATCTCATATATCCAAACAACACTGGCCAGCGAGTGTGGTAGGTTTGAAATAACTAGCACCCTCCAGGCCAGGACTGGCTGGACAGCAGAGGGGGGCCAGGCCACCTTGCTCCATACACCCTGGCCCCGGCTCCCTCTGCGGGGTGCCCTGAACACTGTCACCTGACGTCAGGGTCTGCACGGGGGTCATTACTGCCAGCAAGCGCTGCCTGCACCCACTTACTGCTCCAGTACCACAGGTGTCAGACATGCTGGGAGACAGAAGAGGCCCTGAGGGTGCCCCAAACCTCAGAGCTTAGCCTTGGTGGTGTCACCACCCCCATTCTGTTAGCCCACAGCCCCCTGCCTAAAGGACAGCAAGCCAGGTCACCACGTGGTTGCCCATGGTAGGCTGGGGTGCTATCATGGGAGACGGTGGCCCCGCATCTCTAATCCAGCAGTCCTGTGCTCCTTGGACATCCTCCCAGTGGGTGCTGGACAGGAACTTCAGAGCCAGCCTACCCCAAACATCCTCCTCCTCACCTCTTAACTCTGCAACCCCTGTTGCACCTGCAGTTTAGGACCCAAGCTGCCCACACAAGGCCCTGGGGTCACCCAGACTGCTCCCTCTCCTCCAGCTCTCCTGTCACCATAAGCTATCATGTCCATCTCTTAAAATGCTCTGGAATGTACCCCACCTCCCATAGGGGTCACTGCCCAGAGCCTCCCTAGCCCCATGCCCTCAGGCTGGTGACAGCTCTGAATGCAAGTGACTGTCCCCCAATGGCTTCCAGCTTTGAGCGCCTTGAAGAAGCCTGCACCAGCTGCAACACCTCCAGCCTCATCTCCCACCAGCACCACCTCACGGTCAAAGTTCAGCCTCACAGATCTACTCAGATCACGGACCACTTCCTCTATGACCCATTCTCTGAGCTCCCCGCCATTTTCAGCCCATGGTCCCCTCCTATGGCCACCAGCGTCCACGGGCCACTTGATCACAGCACCTCCCGTACTTACTCTGTCCACCTCTCTCCATCCCCTCCATCTCACTCAGTGTTACACTCCCCCGGCCAGAACCAGGGTTGGACCTTTTGAAAACATACACGAAGTATCTGCCAGACACTGCTGAGCAGGCCACACTGCCCGCCCTGTCAGGTCCCCTGCCAAAGTGAGGGCCAGGATGCAACATGGACAGGGAGGCCAGATCCCAGGCCGCCTCCTGGGTCTCCCATTGGTCTGAGCAGACTGGGGGGTAATGGGGCCTCCAGCTGCTCGCAGCCCCTGCCTGGTGCTCTGCCCGACCCAGCAACAGTGAGCACGGCCCACTGCCCCCTTGACTGCATCTAGCACAGGGCCGGCACCATGAATACTTGAGTCAACCTGAGCCCAGGAGGAAAGTGGGCATGGGACAGAGAGGAGGGGCCCATCTTCACCACACGATCCCCAACAGAGGAGGTATGTGCAAAGGCACGGGGCAAAGAAGGGGCTGGGCACCTGCTTACAGACTCTGTCCCCTGCCTGGCTCCCTCCGCCACCTCCAAACTAAATCCCATCCAGTCAGGGCCCACCTCCCAGCAGGGACAGACCTGTCCTCCCTTGGCCTCTGACCTCCAGGTCACTATGTCCATTGCGGGCAGGTGTCTCTCCAAGTGCACGTGTCACGTCTGGCACTGATACCCTCCCAGATGCACACCCTTTTGGGGAAGGGACCCTGTCATGTGTTCCTCATGCCTCCCCAAAAGCCTGGCAGATGACAGACACTCCAAGGCTGAAAAGCATCCATCCTTTCAGAGACCTACCTGGTCCCGGCTTCCGGACTAACTTGGGGGACCAAGTGCGTGCACTGGCCTGCTGTCCCAGCTGAGACCCTGGAAACCAAAGTGACACAAATACGACAGGAAATAAAGCCAACAGAGTGAAGTGGGGAGGAAGGTGACGTGAGCAGTCCAGACAGTTCTGGGGGGCAGAGAGTAGATGAGGAAGAAAACAGCAGACTAAAGCCCATGTCCTCAGGTCTGTGATATGCCCAACAAATCAAAAACAAGATGCTTTAAAAAAGGAAAATCATAGAGAAAGAAAAGGCTCTTGGATATTACCAACAGTATTTACCATTTTTTACTTCAATAGAAAGACCAAAAGATAAAGCTGATGAAATCCCCCTGAATGCAGAGCAGAAGGACAGATTTTTTAAAGAGTGAGATGTGAAGAAAAAGTTCAGCAGATTTAAACAAATGTTAACAGCAGCTAATATTTATTGTGTGCCACACCCACTGTGCGCCTGGCACTTTACTAACTCACTTATCATTTAATCTTTACAATCACCTTAAAGGCAGATACAATGGTTCCCATTTTACAGATAAAAAGACTTAGACATACAGAAGCAATAAGCACCCTAGAAAGAGAAAATAAGTAGATGGAAACCAATTGTCAAAGAAACAGAAGAAAACTTCCTGGAGCTAATGTGATGGACACAAAGCGTCCAACATTAGGAGCAAAAAAACAAAAGAAGATCCCAGAGATGTTATTAAAAGTGATCCTAAATGTTTCTAGAGAAAACAAAACAAAACAAAACCCAAGTCGTCTGCAGTGGAACAAAAACCCAGGAGTATCCGACTTCTCAGAAGACAATGAAGCAATACTTCCAAAGCTCTGACTGGTAGTAATTCCCAAACTGGAATATCACACGCAGCCAAGCTACCACCCAGGGGCTGAGAGCTGAAGGACGGTGCTTTCAAAGGGACAAGGAGTCAAGAGTTTGTTTCCCACACAACTTTCTTCAGAATTTGCTCAGGTAATTAATCTCTTGGAATATTACTTGAGAAATTACTCCAGTAAAACAAGAAAATAAAGGAAAACATTAAACATGAAGCAAAGTAAATGGCCAAATTTTAACCAAGAACAACAAAAAGAGCTGACTTTGACATGACCTTGAACATTCTCCTCTGAGTGCTCACGGACAGGATGAATGGAATCCTGGTGTACTGACTGGCCCTACAGTGAACACAGTCAGTACAGGGCAATGCTGTTTGCTGGCTTCTCACTCTTACAGTCACTCTCTGATCTCAGAAAGGAAGACTGGGTCTTAATTTGACAACCTTAACATTGTCAAGTGTAACTCCCAAAAGGAGGGGTGTAAGGTTCCAGGAAAGACAGGGGGAATGGGTGCTCCTTCCTAGGTGGAAAATCAGAGGATGACAGGGCAGAAGAAGCCAATTGTGCACTCAATGTTCAGAAGCAATTACTGATCCTTCAGCACTGGGGACGGAGCTGCAAAGTGCAGCAAGACACTCGGCTCTCACTGGGGGAGGAGGGAGGATGGGCAAGATAAATAATACATATAATATGATCAGAGGCCGAAGAGAACTACAGAACAAAGGCCAAGCAGCATGCAGCCATAAAGGTAAACTGAGCGAAGAGACTGCATGTGAGAGCTGGCGGGCAGCAGACATCTGGGGAAGGGAGATGGGGAGCCTGGAGGAGGATCGCAAAGGGAAGCAGGACTCATTATCCGAAGTCACAAGGGCCATCCCTGCAAAACCAAGCTCTTCACTAGAAAACCTCCAGGAGAGGGTGGATAAAAGACGTCTGAGTTTAGGATAAAGTCTAGGTAAGTCAGCAAGTATTTTTTTTAATTTGAAAAATTAAGAGGTAAGAAGCAAATCAGCTTCTACACTAATTTGAGGTGTGAGGGAGGCACGAAGGACAAAGGACAAAACCATTACCCTGAGATGGGGATGAAGGCTTCCCCTCCTCAGCCCTGCTGCTGGGTTAGGGATGTGTACACATGGGACTTAGAAGATACTTTTTAAACACATAAAGTATCATTTTAGAGACCGGAGTCCTAAAACAAATACACTGGTTTGTTAACCGGGCCCATGTTTCATTGACAACTGGCAAAATATAATCCAGCCAAGCGTTGTGGCCGCAACAAACAGCAAACTGGGCCTGAGTACTTGATTCATCTGATGCTGTCTGCGCAGGGCAGCCCAGACAGACTGCAACCAGCAGGACTCCACTGCTGATTTAAACCCTGCCCACAGGCTGACAGGTTAGGAGGGTACACCTCACCTAAAACCCCATCCTCAGTTACCCGGAGCCCAGAGAATGTGCCCCTTCCACACGCACACAGGCAGACTACTGGGCCTCTCTGACCCTCAGTTTCCACACCTGCCTGCAGGGACTCTGGGAGGCCCCGTGACGCAGGGGGTCACGAGCAAGTGCGTGCACGGTACAGACACTGCAAGTGCTGTGGACAGCAGATGCTACTTCTAATGGCTGCTTGGTTACCCAAGGGTGGATGGAATCATCATCCTGGGCCTCTCCCGGAGGGCAGGGGACAGGGCAGGGGAGGTAGGTGGGGAAGAACCAGAGAGGACGCTGCCTGAGGAGAGGGGGGCCGCACCGAGGCAGGGGGCCACCGGCAGAGCACAACAGCAACCACGGACACCTGGCGGAACAGGCACACAGGTGCCGTAAGAACAGGACCCCTGCTTCAAAGCACAGGCTGCTTCCCTGGCCCCCCACCTGTAAAACAGCCCTGGAGGCGCAGAATGGAGACACAGCACATGAAGAGCTATATGGGAAGAGCTGAGAGATTACTCCTGAAGGCTGTTTATGGGGACCTGCTGGGTCAGCGACCACACCAGCTCTCCTCCAAGAGGCTCAGAAAGGAAAGGTGGAAAGGGGGAGAAGGTGACGACTGGGGCAGGAGCAATCAGGGAAAGCAACCACTGACAGCTGATGAAAAACACCAACAGGAAAGGCTCCGAGGCCACCAGGGGCATCACACCCCGTTCCCGGGGAGCCAGATGTCTCTGCTTCCATCCCAGATGTCACCTCCCCACTAGCCCGACCTGCAGGCCTGGGATGGGCTCCTGCTTCAGCCTGAGGCTGTCCCCACCTGCACAGTCCTCGGGGTGCCCTGAAACCCTGCCCTGCAGGCAGAGAGCTCAGCAGCCCCAGTATCAAAGCCCTTCATTCCTTTATCAACTCATCCACTCAAGGAATATTTACTGGACCCAAGACATGCCAGGCCTCACACAGGGACTCAATGGCGAGGGGACCAGCTGCAGGCCGGCCCCCAGAGAGCTCAGAAGACTGCCACCAGCCTCATTCCAAATCCACATCAGACTCCCCAGGGAGTGCCCTCTGACCCCCACAGAGGGTGAGTCCCGGCTCTGCCCGTAATCCAGACCCTGCCAGAAGGCCTGGGTGGGACCTTCGGCCTGACGAGAGGGCAGGCTGAGAGGTGAGGCGGGCGCGGGGGACGTGTGAGGAACAGCGGGCGGCCAAACGAGCACCTTCTATGCTCTTTGCCCCAAATACCACAACTTCTTAAGCTGGCATCTCTCGTCAAATGCAGGCCCAATTAGCAATTTCCTGATAACCCACCAGGTGGGCGTAAGTTGCCCTTCCTACCCACTGGCTACTTTCTCCCAGACGCTTCTCAGTGCCTGAGTCTAAACAATGCACAAGACACAGTCACTACCTCCACTGGGCGCTTCCTACGAGGGACTCAGTGGAGGAAGGAGAGGCAGAAAGGAGGCCGGAGGACCGTTTCGCGCACGCTCCCAGCTCACTGAGGGTCACACACAGGGCGCTCAGAGTGTGGGCCCTTCTGCCCCGGGGGAGGGCAGACAGGCCTGCCAGGGGGCGACACTGGGCTAGCAGCACAGGTGCTCAGCCTGCAGGGCTGCACTCACCGCGCTTGGGCTTGGGGAAGCTGTCGTGCAGCCGGAAGACCACCTTCTCCACGAAGTGCTGGATGTCACACTGCTCGGGGCCGCGGACAAACACCATCCAGTCGTGGGTGAACCCCTCCGTGGTGGGCTTCTTCCGCAGTTGGGCGCGGTGTCCCAGCTCTAACTTGACCTGGACAGTGCACTGGAGGGAGAATGAAATGGGCACAGGGTCAGCACCAAGCCCACAGCAGGGGACTGCAGGCCATCCCACCCCGTCGCCTACACGCCGCGGTCAGCACCAGCCGTGGCAGGTGGAAACTCCGGAGCGACGCCTAGGCTCCTGGACCAGCCAAGAGAGAGCCAAGAGCCTCCCGGCCCACAGCAACCCGGCACTGTGCAGATCGCCTCGTGTCTCCTCTCCCGGCAAGCCCGCCAGGCCCTGGGTCTGTCCCTGCCTTCCCCTCGTCTCTATCCCAGGCACAGCCTCCCTACTGCTCCTCACATAAGCCCAGCTCACCCCTGCTTCCGGGCCTCGGCATCCGCTGCCACCGGGCCTCTTCCCCACACCCTGCATGCCAGCTCTTTCCTGTCACCGAGGCCTCGGCTCCACTCCTGCCTCCTCAGAGAAGCCTTCCCTGACCGCCCGGTCTGAAGGCACCCACTACCACCCCGTCCCCCGGTCACATGGGGTGCCACAGGTCCATCTGCTCCGCTCTTATGCGGGCTCCTCGGAGGGGGCCCCCTGTTCAGAGCAGAACTCCTCACTGAGGTCTCCCAGTATGCACCAGTATGAGCAGGAGTGCAACTACCTTACTTGGGGATAGAGGAACTAAGGCCCCAGGAGCCGCTGAGCAGCATACACCAGAGAGGCGGCAGCTGGGAGGGAGAAGGGCCCGGATTCGAGCCCAGGTGTGCACCGCCCGAGGGCCGGCTCCCTTCGCCACTCTGCACCTTGCCTGGTCACACCACCCAAACTCCTCGAGTGAGCATTCGTTCTCCTCCATCCTGTGGAACACCTCCTGGAGAACAGAGACCCTCGGGGGCCACCTGAGTCACCCACACCAAGGCCAGCTTGCAGTTCCAAAAGCGGAGAACGGAGCTCACAGTGAAAAGAGGGGGTGAGGGTATGAAGCCCCCAGGGACAGGTCACAGGTGGGTCTGTGACCTGGACAGTCAGCCGCCCATCATGATGCATGTGTGCGACACCCCACTTGAAACATAAGGCAGCTCAGGCTGGTTCCGTTCCACTGAGCACAAAGCCACAAAACTTCGAAGCATCCCCACACCTCGGTCGGCCAAAACCACGAACAGGGAACCTACTATAAACATCCACTCTGGTCTGTGAAATCCTCCCTGGACTACTCACTGATACAGCCAGACACCAAGTATCAAATGCAAGAATGTTACAAAGAAAGCCAAGGCCAAGTAGACACTTGTTCTTAAGTGCCGCGATAACCGGCAGCCAGCAGCCAGCCGGTGGCCTGGATCCCACATGGCCCAGATGGAGCGCCGCGTGCCCTTCCTCCCTCCAAGGCCCATCCTCCCAGGGCCTGACCGGAAACCTTACGCTACATTTTCCATCCCCTTCCTCACCCACAGATCTTCTGTGCATCCCTACCTCTTCTGGGTGCCCAGACCCTGCTCAGACCCTACCACCAGTGTCCTCCTCCCAATCACCTGGTCTCCAGGTCCCCTGTCACTGCCTGAATGCAGGGCACACAGCTCCGATCGCCCACCCAGTTCACAGCTTCCGGTGGCCTGCCACTCCCTCAGAATACAGTCCAACTGCCTCAGCACACCGCCCATTGCCCATCTTCCCACTGTGCGTCCCCGGGTCTGAGATGCTCATCGTTTTCACCTTTTACCTTTCTGAAGCTGGAATGTATCCTGCAGACTGTCTAAGTTTCATGCATCGAGGGCCTCCCGGCTGTGCACACATGCACATTTATGCAGACCCAACACACAGAGGCGTCACTATGCTGGCAGCATGCCTTGAGGGCTCAGGAAATGCAAGCACCCTACGTTCCAGCACAATCAGACCCTGACCATCCTGAGACACACTGGGACCATCCACTCCTGTCCACCTGTGCTCCTTCGAGCCTACAGCCTGGGGTGCCCTACACTCGTTTCTCTGCTGATCGAAATTCCACTCGCCCCTTAAGCCCTGGCGCAAGTGCTACTCTCTCCACAGCCATTTCCAGTCACCATGCTGGAAACCAACTATACCCTCAGGGCTCCATGGCATCTGTGTACAACCAACCCCACAGCACCCACGTCATCCCTTCCCTGCTCCTGACTGTTCACCACTGTCTCCCCAGGGCCACCTCTCGCCTGGCCTTTTAACCTCTCTTAGAACCATGGGACACAAGGCATCAACAGTACTGGATGAACTAAACTAGAAAGAGTTCCTAGCTCAGTGAGTTCTAGGTAGTGCTACCCAAGAGGGACAGGCCAAGGACACTGACAAGGACAGGGCAGTCCCAATGTCTAACAGAGGCTCAGGGTACTGGCAAGCCAGCTGTGACCAACAGGGCAGAAGTTCTCCGGGCACTGGAAAAGAGCAGGGATTCCCTGGGACCGGGCCTCGCCACATCTCCCTCCAGGTAGGAACTGGGACAGAGCATTTAGACTCGGCACAACAGGAGTGGCAGCCAGCTCTCGGTGGCCGACGGGACGAGGAAACAGTATCTGAGTAAAAGTACCCCAGCCACTGTGTACGGTCTGCAGGCAGAAAAGGTCACAGGCACACGGACAAGCCATAACCAGAGGCTAAGAGGCAGCCGGGGGTGTGGCTGCAAAAGGAGGCGACTTCAGAAGACCCCGCAGGACAAGTGGCCGGGGACGAGGAATGAGGAGGAGACTCAACGCCAAGACGCAGGTAGCTGGGGTGCGGCTGGCGCCACATGATGGCGGGTGGGTCACTCCATGGGAAACAGCCCCCAAAGCCCATCAGCCAGAGGAGAGCCACAGACCCACCAGAGCGCAGCACAAGGATGTGCACACCCACCCCAAAAGCACATCGTCCCCAACAGGCCGTCATCATCATACACGCTTACGTGGTTTCCCGCCGAGAACAGCAGACCAGTCCTGGACTGCTGGGAGCACTATAGGTGAGAGTAAACGCGGGCAATCCACACAATACCCCGGCGGAGGCAGTCTGATTCTCTGGAGTGACTCCTTCCTATGCGATACGCCGCTTCCTCAGATTCTGTTACTCCCCCATCAGGCTGCTCCAGTCTTGGCTGCCTTCCTGGCATTTCTGATTACACGGGGCTCTAACCCAGGGCACATGAGCACCAGAGCAGTTACGGTAAAAGAATGGGACACCACAGCTCCCGTGGAAGAGGGAAAATTGAAGTGCCAACAACATGCTCCGGAGGCCAAAGTAAACAGGAAGGTTCCGAGGCAGAGATGGGCGATCCCGGCAGCCAGCGACTGGGCCCGAGCTCTGCCCCGGCGGCATCTGTGGCCCGGGGGCTGGCGCCAACCCAGCCTCGACAACCCCCAGGTTCCAGGTGCCAATGACTGTGCACACTGGTGCGCTCGGGCGAGGAGCACTCCCCACAAATGCCGGAATCTTCGAAGAAATAAAGATGGTGGAACGGCCCAGACGCTGGGCCACTGTATTAGAGCAGAAATCACCAGTTCAGTGAAGCATCCCAGCTACACTGGACGGGAGGCAAGCAAGGAGCTGAGCCCTGGCCAACGACTCCGACTTGTCAAGTCGTGATCATTTACTGGCACAGCTACGCCAATCCCACCCCAAGGTTTCTGCCCCCTCTCCTGCTAGTCCACCTGGGCTCCTCCCCTGTCCTGAACCACCAAAAACACTGAAGCAAATCAGCGAGCTTTCTCTGGGAAGGGCGCTTGGCCTAAAGAGGCTAACAGCCGGCGACGCTCCCAGCGGCCTCGGAAGGAACGAGGCTCACCACCCTGCCGACTGCTTGGAGGCGCTCTGCAGAACCTCCAGGGTGGCCGGCTGGAAGCAGCCCGGGGACCTGGCCTCAGTTACCGCCGTGTCCCAGCACTTTGGGGACCACGCTGCCACCCACTCCCTCCACAAAAGCCCAGAACAAAGGGGAATATTCCAGGCCAGCCCCTCTTTTACTTCTGAGAAATCACCCAAAAGCCCTGTGAATGGGGATGGAGTGGCACAAGGGCTCCAAGGGCCATCTGGGGACAGTTAGGCTTGGGCAGAGGGCCTCAGCGAGGCACTGCCCTCTCTCCAGGCCAACTGGCAAAGGGTACTTGGCACCCAAGGGCCAGAATCCTAAGTCCTGCAAGCCAGGCAAACAGATCCTGGAAGGCAGCTTGCTGGGCACTTCTTCCCTAAATGCTTAGGTCCCTCCAAGTGCGGACACCAACGGCCATCGCCCAGCAGAGAGAGAGAGCCGGCCAGCTTCTAACAGCCCCCCAACGCCCACTTCAAAGCCCTTCCCACATCCCGCAGAGGCTGCCCTCAGTCTGGGCCCCAGAAGGCAGGTCTTTAACAGTGAGTTCATCTGTACAATTCCCCTGATTTTCCGGTGGGAATTCTCTTCAGAAGACACCTTTTCCTCTGGGAATTTGCACTTTACCAAGTGGTATAATTATGCCTGGAGTTTGGCTACAGCATCTAATTCCCTCGGATGCAGCAATTTCCTCCCAGGGAAAGAAAGCACCAAAGAGCCTTCTCCCTCGTCAGCCTAGATGGATGGTGCCAAGCTGCCGGCAACCCACTCCACACATGCAGAATCGGGGAAGGTGCTGGTCCCACGGAGCAACACAAGACCAGATGAAGTACTCTCTGCAAAACTTTTCCCCCTCTGGACCCGGCCAGGGGCTCTCAGGAGCAGCCAGAATGTAAGATGGGGACACGACTGACACGCCTCTGCAGCAATCCTCTAGAGCGGAGGGCCGCCTGCCCAGAGGCAAGGGCCTCTCGTGACAGCTGCATGAATCCCTGGTCTTCTAACTGTAGGCACACAGGCCAGTGCCTGCACCCTCTCCTGGTTCCAAGAGGCCTTATCTCTTTGACCCAGGGTACAAGGCTAATAACAAAGAGACCAGAAGGGCTCAATGTCTCTCTAGAAACTAAGGGTTAGGTGTGCACACCATGAGGATATGCAAATACAATCCTTAGTGTTCAGACTCCCAGGAAGACTGGCCCTCACCAGCCTGCCAGGGAGGCCGGGAACGGGGCATATATTATACATGTATGACACCTGCAGACGTGGAGACAGCACACCAGGTGTCCCCCCAGTTGCCCAGACAGCAAACTTGGGAGATTTTTAAATGCACACGACCCCAGGAAAGGCATCTGTTTCCAGTTCAGGTATGCCTGGTTACAAAGGGACTGAGCCCTGGTTACTTTTATTTAACCAACAATTGGTGAAGCTAAGTGGAAAACTTTGCATTAGAAATTACGACAGACATAAAGGGGTACAGGACTCTGGTACCTGCCCTCAAAGACTTTACAACACATCAATGCAAGGCAAATGGTAGGTGGACTCCAGAGCTGGGTGGGGAAGACCCTACCACCCTTGAGTTAATGCTCCGAGCAGTTCTGAGCCTTCCTCCACAAGGTATGGGCAAAGAGTGGGATTCCCACCAGGCCTTGACCGCTCTCATGAGCCTGCACGTCCACATCTATAAACGGGCCATCATCTCTACAAACAAAACCTCCCCTCAGGAACAACAGATGGCCACAGGCAGTGGTTCCCAAATCCAAACTGGGGAGAGCCTTTTGAAAAGTCAGCGTCAATGCAACCGCGTGGGTCTGCTGCCCACCTCAGGCGGCTGTGAGGCCTGGAGCTTCCACGAAGGGAGACCCCCCCACACCAGGTGCTGGCACCACTTCTAGCTGCCTAGGCAATCCCCGCCCACCAGGACCCCCAACCCTTCTTCCTTTCCCAGTCGGAATTCCCAGCCCCTGCTCCGTCCTTTACTATGCAATGCCTACCTCACCATCCTTGAAGATAAATCACATGCCTCCTGGACCTGCCCCACCAAATACATCACCCCTTTCCCCATAGGAAAACATAAATCCCACAGACAAGGACTTGAAGGTACAGACTCAGAGGTACGAGAATCAAACAGGTGGCTTACAGCCAGGGTAGAGGGAACCAGAAGCACCTTCCTGGCCACAGGGAAGGGACTGCAATGCTTCCCTGAGAAGCCGGGAGCCCAGAGCAAAATGCACAATCCCCCTCCTTAGCTGGGCTGAAAGTTCTAGAGTATACAACAGGAAGAGTCAAGGCCTCCCGAAGCCAGCAGGCCCTCAGGGGAAAGTCCTGGTGTTTCCCATCAGACCAAGGCATTTACAGGAGTGGGGCATCCTCCGGCTGAGATGCTGCTGGATTCAAAGCGTCTCCCGCACACAGAAGTCACCCTGCACACTGAGAGCCACTCACCTCCTTGGGTAAGAACCACTCTCCTGTCTCCCCAAGGGCCTCCATCTGTGTGCAGAAGGGGCCCAACTCCCAAACTCCTCCCAAACGTGCAGGAAAACACAGCCAGAGACAGAGAGGCAGTCTGTGGGGGCGGGGGGAGTGACGCACCCACTTTCCTTCGGGACCCAGACCAGCCCTGCCCAGTGGGACTTTCTGCCATACACAAATGTCTCTGTAGTGCCCCGCAAGGTGGCCAGCAGCTCAGTGGGGTAGGTCTCGGGCTGGAGCGACTGAGGAGCCGCCTTTTTCATTCCAGTTCGTTCAAATTTGGACCCCAAGTGTGCAAGGGGCTGCTGCACTGGGCTGTTCTCCCTCTCACCAGGCCAGCCCAGCAAGGCCAGTGTCTCCCTCTGTCACAGACTGAGACTGCCACCTATTCTCACCACCCCCCGCCAAGAAAGACAGCCGCCCAGATGCCAAGGTGTACACAGCACCAGGCAATGGACACACGGGCTACGCGTCTCCCCAGAACTAGCAGGTGGGGTGCGAGGCAAGAGCCACCTTCTGGGCCTGTGTGGTGCCCAGCAAGACTCCCAGGGGTGGGCTTTGTTGCCAATGGCCTCTGAAAGTATATTTTGTTTTGTTTTTTACCTCCGTACAGATTGGAGGCAACAGGCTACAAACTGGAGGCATTAGGCCTTGTCCCTGGAGGGAAATGAACTCACACTGCATGTAGAAATCCACCATTCAACTGCTAGACTCTTCCTTACCTCTCAAGAGAAAGGGGGCAACACCAAAGCCAAGAGGGAAATCGTGGCACGAGGGTGCCACCAGCACGAGCCTCGGTGATCCTGTACCACCATGAGTGGCCGGGGTGGGCAGGGGAGGTCTCCTGTTCCCCAGCCACACAGCGCCTCACCAGACAAGAGCCGCCTCAGCGGCGCCAGCAGCCAGGAACGCCCCAACCTGCCCTCACTAACGGTGGAGACTTCAGCTGCCACCCCCACACCGCCTTTCCTGGCCTTGTGCCCCTGGGCACAGGGGAGGATGAAGAAGCAAATGAGCCTATGCTGGGGGCCACAGTGGTCCTGGCCTTGAGGAGGGGAAGGGGCTTGCATACCGAAGAGACAGCACAGGGTTGGTAAAGGGGGGATGTGAGGCTTGGCTCCAGGTTTCTGGGTAGAAGGGAGAGGGGCCCTGGGGAGGTTTATGGAAGTTGGGGTATCCCCCTGGGTTTGGAGCAAGGCTCTGCTTGGTGTGGCCTCTGAGATGCAGGGGGCTGTGCGGGGAGGGCAGTGCCTCGGAATCGCAGGTTCAGGCTGGGGGATGTTGAAAGTGGCAGACCCCAAAGAGAGACAGATTCTGGGGAGACTGCAAGACTGTGAAGGGAGGCTGACTGAGGCTGGCAGAACCAGACGGAGGATGGAGACCTGGATTGGGGGAAAATGTGGGGAAGCATAAATCAGGGTCACGAGGCCAAGGGGACCCAAACTGAGGGGATCCCATCAGGCATCTGGTGTCTGCTTTGGTTTCTGGCTTGGGGGATCCCAGTCACAACAGAAATGCCCCTGGTCTAAGACAAAAGACTGAGAACGAAAGGGACAGCCCCTCGGGAACTGGGTGCCACGGGAGGGTGCCTGGAGACTGAAACCAGAGGGGCCAGGAAGCAGGACAGGTCAGAGGAGTCTGAGGAAGCAAGGTCCAAGGCAGCTGCTCAGTGGAGGCCTGGGTCTTTGTGGGAAAAGACCCAGGCCCAGCGCAGGCCGGAGGGGAGAACTCACTCAGGTGGAGGCCGAGCCGGGGGGCATGCGAGAGGAGAGGGCGCAGGCCTGGGGCAGGATGAGGGTTAAGGAGGTTTAGAGTGGGCCTGGGTTCCAGGAAGGGGTGGGGCTGAAGACCAGGGTCCCAGGAGCTCAGGGACACTCAAACCCCCGCGAGGGTTTAAGGGAGAAGAGGCAGCAGGCTGGGGGCTCAGGGAGCTGAAGGGCTCTCAGGGCCAAAGATCCAGAGACCAAAACAGACAGAGACCACCCTAGACCCAAACGGGAAAAAAGGGGGGCAGGCCAGACCTGAGAAATCTGCCGGATCCCCAGGGGCGCCCGTGGGGACATAGGGCTGGGGCCTCGAGGGATGTCCCGGGGGCTCTGGGCCGGACTGGGGTCCCAAAGGGCGTTCCAGGGGGAGGTCTGCGCCGCCTGTGGGGACTCTGGGCCGGGCCGGGGTCGGAAGGGGCGTCCCCGAGGGTTCTGGGCCGGACGGGGGTCAGGAGGGGAGTCCCAGAAAGGTCTGGGCCGGTCCGGGATTCCGAGGCCGTCCTGGGCTGGGCCGGGCCGGGGTTCCGAGGGGCGTTCGAGCGCTCGGGCCAGGCCGGGTCGCGGATGGGGGAGGGGCGCCCCCGCCCCACATAAAGGCCCGGGGAGCGGCGGGCGCGCACAAAGCGGGGCGGGAGGGCGCCGAGAGGGGTGGGAAGGCCGGGACCGAAGAGGGCCGGGCGGGCGGGCGGAGGGAGGGAGGGAGGGAGGGAGCCGGCGGGCGGCGAGGGCTACGCTGGGGCGGCGCGGCCGCTCCTCACCTGATTGTCCATGGCTGGCGCCCCGCCCCGCCCCCGGGCCCCGCGTCGCTCGCCGCCGCCGCCGCTCAGCGCCGCCCCGCCGCCCTCATTGTCTGTCAGGCACCGCCGCCGCCGCCGATCCCGGCCGCCCGCCCGCCAGCCCCGCGGAACCGGAAACCACCGCCAGCCCGGGTCGCGCACCGACCGCGGGCCCCCGCCGCCGACTCGGGCCCGCCGCCCCGACTGACAGCCTCCTAGGCCAATCGTCAGCGCGGACGGTCGCTCATGGGGCGGAACTTCCGACCTGGCGGGGGTCTGCCGGGCTGTGGTCGGAGGGACGGAGTCCTCAGCCAATAGTAGGCCCGGACGGGAGGGGCGGAGGGAGGGAGGGAGGGAGGCGCGACTCCAGCCCTGCCGAGGGGAGCGCGAGGTGTGCGCCGCACGTGGAGGGGGGCGGGGGCGGGACGGGGGCACCGTGCCGCGCCTGCGCACTGCGGCCCGCAGGGGGCGCTGCCTAGTGGACGCAGCCTTCCCGGACCGCAGCTTGGGTGGCGGAATCGACCTCTGGGGAGGGAGCCCCAGGGACGCTTTTGTTTCCTGGCCACGTGTTGCTTCTGTGTGATGGAATGAGCTCTGCGCTCTGGAACTGCGGACTAATTTTGCAGTCCTGGATCAACATCAGGGCAAGCCTGGCCAACTCGCTTCTTCCGGAGTCTTCCGGAGTTTTGTGCATCTGTAAAATGGGGACACTCATAGTATCAAGCGATGCCAATTCAAGCTATGTGAATGACATAAATTTGAAATCGGCTTCGTTAAAATGGTCAAAAAGGTCTCATTTTCCCCCCGAAATTTACACTGCTAATCCTTCCCAAACCTATTATTAATTTACCACGATCATACAATTTCATGACTTGTATATTGTATTTATATCGGATATAGGCAGAGCACCCTATCTTTTTCAGGATCTTGTAAGTCACTTGTCTCTCAGACATTAGAACTTCTACCTGCAAGGACCTTGGTAAAGTTTTAAGTTCCTCCTTATCATGAAAAGTCAAGATTTTTAGTTTGTTTTTCTGGGTGTTTTGTTTGTGCTTTATTTGTTTTGTTTTTGCTCCCCTTTCTCAATCGTCAGCCAAGTGGTCAAATCAGTAACTGGAAAATCAGTAACTTTGAAATAGAAGTAAGTACAGACAAAACCTCTGAAGGAGGCCAGACTGTCATAGTAACACTGGACTTTTTAATCTAAAGCAGGGCATGCTGGGGAGAAAGAATAATGGAGAAATAACCCATGATTAAGTGTCCATCAATGGGTGAATAGACAAATTGTGGCATATCCATACAATGGAATATTATTCAGCCAGCCTTTAAAAGAAAATTCTGACATTTGCTACAACATGATGGATCTGGACACAAGGTGCTCAGTGAATTAAGCCAGACACAGAAGGACTGACCCTGTCTGATCCCCCTCTGAGGAGGTCCCTAGAGGAGCCCTATCCACAGACACAGAAAGTAGGTGTTGGGGACCAGGGGCTGGAGGAGGGGATGGGGAATGTGTTTCATGGGGACAGAATTTCAGTTTGGGAAGCTGGAAAGTTCTGGAGATGGATGGTATGGATGGTGGCCATGGTTGGGCAACAATGTGAATGTACTTAATGCCACAGAACAGGGTGCTTTAAAAAAGGTTAAGATGGCAAGTTTTATGATCTATACATATATATATTTATATCATAATTAAAAAAAATTAATGGACTATTTGACATCATGAACTTGTAAGTATCCATAAGTCCTTAAATGATAGTAAAAGAAGAACAAAGCTCATCTGTCCCCTTTGAAGGTAACAACTGTACCAACTCCTCACTTACCATGCCTTTACAGCATAAAACTAGCCCGTTGATAAAAGCTCTTTTTACAGAAAAATGCCAGCCAGTACTGTTGAAAGCATGATAGAAAAAAATCACTACTGTGAATGCCCCAAGAAAGAACCATTGCAGACAAGAGTCATCAGTGGATGCTAAAACCATGAGCTGAAAGGATCATCGCACATCCATCAAAGATCATCCCTGAGAATGCTGCTAGATACAAAGAGGAAAAAATAACCTTACAATGAATCACGCCATTGCCCTCCTGGTCCAGGGATGACTCTTACCAGGCTACCAGTGGAACATGCAGAATGACGAGCTTCTACCAGGCTGCGCCGGGAAGCCATGCAGCACCAAAAAGAAAGTGTTCTTGCCTCCAAAATTTAACTTGGATCGAGTCACACTTTCAGTCCTAACTTTCCATTTACAGGAAAAACACATGGATAGAGGAACATGAGAGAGGACACCATGAGAAGCGATTCAATAAACCCAGAAGGAGGAACTCTCGACAATCTGGCTTCCTCCAGTCAAGAGGATGGAGGAAAAGAAATAGGGACTGCCAAGGGGTTACCAGAGATGACGTCACAGCCAAATGCAATGTGGGGCCCTGCGTTGGATCTTGGGGCCTTGACCAAAGCAGCTGTGTCAGCTGGGGAACTCTGAACATGAATAATAACAGGTGATCTTTAAATTTCTATTTGGTCAAGTGTGATAATGGGATTATGGTTGGGTGGGAAATTGTCTTTATTTTTAGAGATGCCTAAGGGTGAAACACCACCACACTAACTGCCTTGAAAATATGATTTAAAAAATTAGATGAAGCAAAATGGGCAAATGTTAAGAATTGTTCAGTCTAGGTGATGGGCATATATATGAGAGTTCACCAGACTATTCTCTTTACTTTTCTGTATGTGTACAATTTCTATAATAAAAAGTAACACATTTTTTAACGCATCCTCTGCCTAAAATACAACCACTGGATTCCTTCCTTGGGAGGTAAACAGAATGTTGCCCATTTTCTCAGTAGCATGTGATAGCCAACACCTGCTATTCATGAGTTCAATATCGCCTCATTTCACCCCAACGATACTAAGAGGTAGGTATTGTTGTCCCCATTTTACAGGTGAGGAAACTGAAGCTCAGAGGAGGTAAGTGAGTTGCCCAGAGTTGTATGGCGAGGATATGGCAGAGCTGGGGGCCTCCTCAATGAGACCAACCCTGACCGTCCCACTTAGATGCACATTTACCCATGAGGCCCCTTGTCTGTCTCCCCTCCTGGCCAGGATGGAAGTTCCAGGGGGACAGGCACCTTGGTGGTGTTCATTTATGTATATCCTGAGCACACAGCCTGGCACAGGGTAAATGCTCAATAAATATTTGTTGCATGAGATGAAATACTACTGAATCACATAGTGAGTGGGCTAGTTTCTTTTCAATTCATTTCTGATCTAATGTCTGCAGCAAGAAAGTCTTGGCATCCATGCATCTTAAGCCTCTCTTGGCACTCCCCAAGCTCCGTCAAGGACAAGGGAACAGATTCAGAGGTCAGAGTCTGGGACAGGTAACTGCCTCCGGTGCAACGCTTCTCAACCCCTCCTGGACATCGAAATCTCCTGCAGAGCTTAAAAAATACCAGTGCCACGGGGAGGGCTGTGCAACACAGAGAAGACAAGTAGTGATTTTACACCATCTTACTATGTTGATGGACAGTGACTGTGAACGGGGATGTGGGGGGACTTGGTGAAGGGGGGAGCCTAGTAAACATAATGTCCTTCATGTAATTGTAGATTAATGATACCAAAATAAAAATAAAAATAAAAAATACCAGTGCCCACTTCCCACCTTCAGAGATGCCAGTTCATTAGTCTGGAGTAAGATGGTCACCCCCCACCTTATTCTTTCTTTCTTTTCTTTCCTTTTTTTTATGTGCAGCTGGGGATTCTCATGTGCAGGCCGATTTAAGAATCCCTGAGCTGCAGTTAACACTTCTTGTTGTTACTGTATCTACAAGTAGCTCCTTAAAGTGATACAATGTGTCCTTTTGCAGTACAGCAGTGTGAGCCAAGGAGGAGATTTAAAGAAAAACATAGAGCAAATTGTAATTTGAGCAATTAGCAGAATGCTGGTTGACACTTATCCTGATGTTACAAACAATGAAACTGAGACGCAGAGGAGGATACAACTGGCCCAAGTCCCACTGCTAGGAAGTAACATTTTGGACCCGTGGAGTCCAGTCGGTAGTCTGTGACTGAACTGCACCTGCCTTAGGCCTCTGTCGCCCTCTAGCCATCCAGATTATTTGCACCCAAGGGGAGGGCTTGGCATTCCTTCCCCTACTGCATCACCTCCTAGGAAGTTCAGCCCTTCAAGATTGTTTTTGGAATCCTCTGTCTGGCCTCCAGCATGTTCCCTGCACCTCCCAGTTTCCTGCCAGCCACAAATGGACACACAGCCACTCACGGCAGTATTGAAAATGACTGAGCTGGAGCAGAGCCCAGTGGCCAGTTAGAGACCTTGCCGGGATTAGCTGCAACTCAGAGCAGACCTTGAATGGCAGACGGACGGTGTCTGACCTTTAGCTCATAGGCAGTGGGGCGTCATGAACGGTTTGGGAGCAGACCAACACTCTATATGCAATGAGGCATTTCTCCCAGAAGAAGGGCAGTGCACTGGACTCTTCACAACTCTCCTACTCAGTCTGCCTCTTTTCTGGCAGCAATCCGTGATCTGGGGTTTCCTCCCAGGGCCAATTATGAGCCTTTAAGGCACTTCTGTGTGACTTTTAAAATGGCAGTGCTTCCAGGAGAATGCCAGCTCATGACAGGGCACATGCTCCAGGATGACTCAACCCCACCTGTCCCCATCCCCGGTGTCAGACCTGCGGTCAGAGAGGGGCCCCCCGTCCCGAAGAGGCACCTGCCCAAGCATGGCCAGCTAAAGGACTGCATTCCTCTGGCTTCTGGGGGCAGAGGTGTGACCCCAGACCAGCCCTCTGGGAGCCTTATTAAATTCTAATTATGGTCAAATTCACGTAACATACAACTAACCACTAATCCTGTTAAAGTGTACAATGTAGTGGCACTTAGAACATTCATTTTAGTGGCACTTAAAATGCTGTCCAACCACTGTCTCTGCTTAGTTCCAAGACATATTCTTCACCCCCAAGGACTCCCTCTTCCTATGAGCAGTCACTCCCCATTCCCTCCTCTCGGCCCCTGACAGCTGCTCATCTGCCTTCTCTCCGTGCATTTGCCTGTGTGGACATTTCACAGAAATGGGATCCCACACCGTGTGGCCTCGTGGGTCTCTTCTCTCACTCAGCATCCTGTGTTCAAGCGTCTTCCGCATTGTAGCCTGTGCCTGTACTTCACTCCTTTTCATTACAGAATAATATTCTCCTGTATGGACATACCGCCATTGGTTCATTCATCCACTGCATTGATGGTCATTTATGTGGTTTCTACCTTTTGGCTCTTATCAATAGTACTTTCATGAACATTTCTCTGCAAGTCTTTTCTGGAATACCTGCTTTCACTTCTTTTGGGTATGTATGTAGGAGTGAAATTGCCAGATCACACAGTCATTCTCTTTAACTTTTGAGGACTTGGCCAAATAGTTTTCCACAGCGGCTGCCGCATTTTTCATGCTTACCGGCAAGGTCTGAGGGTTCCAATTGCTCTGCATTTTCTCCAATGTTCATTTATTTATTTTTTAAGTAGTGTCCCACTTAGTGGATGGGAAATGGTGTGTCATGGCTTGGATTTGCATTTCCCTAATCACCCACTACGCTGAGCAATCTGTTCCTGCAGTGCACTCAGAGCTTTAAAGAATCTCATGGAAGCACAGCTCTCACCTCCCCTGAGAAAACACCATGACATTTTTGCAAACAGTTTCACAAGCTTGAGGAAACCTCTCCATCCCTTCTCCCCACCAGGATCCACCCTGGGGCCAGAGTTGAAGAATTTCTCAGTTTCTAGAATAAGCACATCTAAAGTATCTGGAAGCAGGAGAATCCGAACCCCAGTTCAGTCCTGCTGCTGATTCCCTGTGGTGCAAGGAACTTTGGGGGAGGGACAGACTTGGGTCAAGTCCAGGCTGTGTGGTCCCAGGCAGGTTCACTTGCCCTCCCTGGGCCACATCTATAAAATGAGAATATTGCCTACTGCAAGGGTGGTGGAAGGGGTATTAGGTTCAGGGATATGTGTTACAGGCAAATATGAGCGGCCCCTCCCATTCCAACTTCCCCACCTCTCCAGTGGGCCAGATGGGCTTGCCTCTTAACTCCTTTGGATAACTTGACAACAGGCCAGACAGCCATCTTCTGCGACAGTCAAGTAGTCTATGGAAGCTAAACCCACCTCGGCCCCCAGGCTAAGAACCTCTAACCAGGCGCTCTCCCCCGTTTGCTAAGCTCCAGCAAGACCATTCTTTCCGTTGCTCCAGCCCATTCCCACCCCAGGGGTTTCACACATGCCATTCCCTCTGCCCAGATGGGCTTGCCCAGCTCCTGGCATGGCTGGTTTCCTCCAGTCATTCTGGGCTCAGCTGCAAAGTGCGTCCCCACTGGGCACAGATATGAAAGGATGTAAGGGCTGCTCCCCGACACTGTGGTTCTCCAGAACATCGCTGTGCTTTATGGTGCAGCACTTCACAGTGTCTTGGAGTACCTTATTGTGTGTCCTTTTATTTATCTAATGTGTGCCTCCTCATTAGGGCAGGAGCCTTACATGTCTTTCTTGTTTTGTATCCCAGGGATAAGCATCAGACATAAAATAATAACTCAATATACATTTATTGAAGAGATGAATGAATGCATGATTAGGTGGGAAAATATATTAATGAATACGATGGTTAAATTATATGGATGGATAAATGAATAGATGGCTATGGATGGATGGATGGGAGGGTAGATATATAACTGTATAAATGGATGGATAGAATGACTGAATGATCTGGAGGGATAAATCAATATAAATGGATGGCTAAGTATAGACGGATGGATGGGCAAGGGATGGGTAACAGGATAAATGGATGGAGGGAAGGATAATGAGTGATGGATGATGGGTGAATAATGGATAAATGGGCCGATGGATGGATAGATGAATGGGTGATTCAATGGATGGATGGACACCTTAGTGAATGTACAGGTAGATAAAAAGATGAAAAGTATAAAGGAATTAATGGATAAATTAATGAATGTGTAAATTAAAGGATAAATGGATAGTTCAAAAAATGGATGGATGGATGGAGGGGTGGGATGGACGGATGGGTGGATGGATGAATGGATGGGTGGATGGATGGATAGATGGATAAACTAAAGGTTAGTAGATGGATGGATGTTTGCCAGACTCCATACTAAGCACTTTACACACATTATCTTGTTTTATCTGTACAGAAATTCCATGAACAAAGGAATATTTCCATTTTACAGACAAGGTGTGTGAGCTTCAGAGTAAGGAAAAATCACTTTCCATATTAGACAAACAGGAAATGGTGGGCAGGATTCAAACTTAGGTCTGCCTGACACCAAGCCCTGTGCTTTTAACCACCATGGAAACCATCCTTCCCTTTTCTCCTCAATTTGAGAGGCAGAACTGGGGACCCCAGCCCCCATCCTGATGCCCATGCTCTGACAGCATCCAGATTGCCCAGTCCAGGCGTCCGTGTTGCTCCTCTGTCCACCAGTGAGTCAGCACCACAAATCTGTGCGGACACATGTGTGAGCATGTGTGAGGGGCTGTGAGGTCTCTGCAGACATGTGAGTGTAGAATGAGGTGACAGAAAAACAGATCCAATCTCTGGGATGCCCCCTAAGTATGAGGGACATTGCACAGCCAAAGGCAGGTCCAAAGAGCCTGGTAGTGACCGCCACTGTCTGTTAGGTGGCTGGGGACCAAGCCCCAGCCTGAGGTCATTCCCAGGAGAGGCCAGGTCCAGCCCCCTAGGTCATGTCCCAGTGGGGAAGCCTGGAACACAAAGGGGGAAATGGAAGAGAACAGGGCCGGGTCAGGGAAGGGAGCTCTGACAGGCAGCCCCCGGGCTCACCAGTGTGCCACACAGAGGGGTCACGAAGCCCGGGCCCTGCCGCACAGGACGAGCAGGACACGGGGAAAGCGAGCTGGAGGAGGGGACTGTGGGTGCCTCTCAGACTCCCGATCCAGGTCCCTCAGGGGAGCGGCCAGGTGGCTTGGTAGTCGAGAAGCCAGCAGACCTCAGCAGGCCTTGTCATCAGCGCTGACTTCCACGTAGGGCAGCCCCACGGGCCAAGTGTCCCGAGGCCAGTAGCGGATTTTGAGGATTTGGTCTGGCATCTCGTACCTGGCGTCCACCATGGCTATGGTGGCTATGCCATAGGGGAAGGTGATGCTGATGAGCACATGCCTGCGGGGAGCAGGGAGGTGAGGGTGCGGGATGCCACCAGCTCCCCACTCCCCGTGGTCCTCATGGCTCCTGACCTTCCCAAGGGGCCTCCTGGACCTGACCCCACTGACCGCGGCTGGTCCCGCTATCTGGGCCTCCCCTCTGCCCCCAGGTTTCTGCTCTGAGCTCTGGCATCTGAGGCTATCTGGTTCTGGGGCCCTGGACCACAGAGCAGGTGCTTACCAGATGCTGTGCATGTAGAAGAAATTAATCTGCTGCCAGAAACTGCAGAGCAAGCGGTCGCTGATCCAGCTGGTCAACGCAAAAGCCCACAGAACCACGGAGACCTCCATTAAATGCCGAAGCTCCTTATTGTTTGTCCTCAGGAGGGAAGAAGGGGAATCAGAGCCTGAAGGGGCTGATGGGAAATTCCTCCATCCAAGGAGATGAGACTGGGAAGAGGGAAGGATCAAGGGTGGCAAGGGGGCGGGGCGTGATCTGGGCTTCCTGCTAACATTTGCTGAGCGCTCACAGGATGCCTGGCGCAGTTCTGGAAGTCCTGATAGACTCGACTCTCAGTCCCCACAATGACGCCATATTCCCATTTTGTAGATGGGAAAACGGAGGCATGTGAGATTAAGGTCAGACTCCTGATCCAGGCCCCTCAGGGGAGTGGCCAGGTGGCTCCGTAGTTGAGAAGCCAGCAGACCTCAGCAGGCCTTGTCACCAGCGCTGATGTCCACATAGGGCCGCCCCACGGGCCAAGTGTCCCACCCCCACCTGAAGTTCCACAGCTAGAAAGTGGCAGAGCTGGGGTCTGACCCAGGGCTGTCAGATGGCAGACTGCGTCACCAGCAAGCCTTTCTGTGTTTGCTTGGGGCTGTGACTGTGTGAGCGCCTGTGAGTCAGCACATGGGAATGCATGTCTGCGTGGCTGTGAGAGTGTGCATGTCCGTGTGTGGGAGGGTGCATTCTCCAGAGGCCACATCCTGGGACAAGTGAAAATCAGCATTTGCATTACCCCAACAGAAGTGCTGACCCAGTGTCCCTTAGGGAAGGGCATATGGGGGATTAATGAGGCAGTATCTCCTTTATGGGTTAAAAGCGTAACCTAAACCGCTGGCCTAAAATGGGACAGTTTGACCATCAGAAAAGAAAAATGAGTAAGAAGTGGCGAGATCTGAATAAAGTCTGCAGTCTCGGTAGCCATACTGCTCCATCGTCAGTGTTCCCCTTTTGTGATGGTGTTAGGGTTACAGAAGATGCTGCCACCGGGGGCCCCTGGGGGAGGCTGGGGGAAGCGTACACAGGATTCTGCTATTTTTGCAACTCGCTATAAAAAGTTAACGATATAGCACAGTGACTGCTATGAACAGAAACCCTTCTGAGATATAAACATCCATGTGTTCATAATGCCACTTTTAAAAAAAACCCACTTCATTGGTCCCAGCTAGAGACAGCGAAGGCACTAACCCATGACTCTGGAAACCGGTAAGTACAGGGAAAGAATCAACGATCTACCCTGTCTTTCCAAACCATGTTTCAAGGTTTTGCTGAGCGCAAGTCCCTCCTGATGGCAGAGCTCCAGATGATCAATGCAGAAGAAATCACAGATTCCACAAAAGATGCTTTTGCAAAACCGCTAATGAGATCATAGGTGGAGGCAGCATGCATCGCTGCTGAAGTCATCAGGTGAAAGGTCAGTGGGAAACTTTATAATGAAGGGACAGGCTGACACTAGCTGAATCTACTGATCAACCTTAACGGGGCTAAACGTGGGAGAGCCGCTCGTTACGGTCTCCTAAGCGGATGGAACAAGAAGCACCCAAGGGCCACACATGAAACACTCCAGGCTAAAAAAAATTTAAACCTAAATCTAGATCAAACTATTAATCCCCACGAAATACAAAAGCAGGAATAATAATAATAAGGAAAAATGTTGAAAGACACCACAGGAAGCAGTCAGCCAATATTCTACAGGACAATTGATCAAGTTTCTGTTATCAAGTAAGAGGCCCAGAGAAAGAGGGAGAGAAGGGAAACCGGCTGCGAAGTTAAGAAGATCGAAGAGACTGTGTTTGGATCCTATTCAAAGAAGACCAGGTGTAGGAAGGCCCCTTGGGGAAATGGAGGCGAATGGCGCACACTGGGTATCAGATACTATTTGAAGCAAGTATTGTTAACATCGTTAGGATTGCGCGCACCATATTTTCCATTTGTCCCTCTAGAGCCTTTCCTTCTCCACTCTGCCTTATGCTCCAGGGGTGCTGAGCTGCGTAGACCAAATCCAGGGGTTCCCTTGTCTTTGGGCTTCCAGCTGTGGTTGGCCCTCCGGAGACCCAGCAGGAAATCAAAGGCTGAGAGGAGGGCACTGCTTGGATATTTACTTCCCTGGCTTCCTCCCTGCGGAGTCGGCCCAGGCTGGCCACAACTAGTAACTGCTCTTGAGGCCCCAGCCCTTGCCGAGGAGACCCTCTCCTCAGGGCTGTCTCTTTCCAGACTCTTGCGATCGCTCTCTCCCCTAGACCCCCAACCTCAACGTCTCCTGATGGTCACGGAATCTCACTCTCCTTAACACGGATTCTAAAGGATCCCTAGTGATTCCCTTATACCTTGCCCTCTCCTTTGGAAAGAACCCTTTTATTCAGCTCACCTCAAACGGCCCCCACTTGAGAGCTCCTTCTCTATCTTGCTAAGACCTAGCATGGGCTAAAAAAAATAATTCTTTATCAGGTGAGTTAAATCCTGAAAAATTAATGGGTGCCATGATATGAAATCTGGAGGGGGGAACATACAATGCAGGTGGGCAAAATGCTGATGGTGGCTGGGACTGGCTGGCAGCACATGGAGGTGTATGGTGCGACGCTTGCTATGTGCATGTGTGTTGGGAGGTTTGCATGATAAAAAGGACAAGGTCTGCAGCCAGACAGCCTTCCATTCTAACCCTGCCCTTTCCCCTTGCTAGTGGATGACCTTGGGAAATGGGCACCCCCTCCTTGAGCCCGGGGTCAGTGAGAACTCTGTGCCTGAAATGCGGTGAGTATTGTGGGGGTGCTGGAGGGGGGAGGGAGCCACCTCCCTGGGTGCCTGCAGCCACCACCCACTTCTTGTACTCGTGGAAAACGATGTAGAGGATGTGCCCGGCGATGCTGTTGAGGGCATATGAAGTGGATGACCTTGGGAAATGGGCACCCCCTCCTTGAGCCCGGGGTCAGTGAGAACTCTGTGCCTGAAATGCGGTGAGTATTGTGGGGGTGCTGGAGGGGGGAGGGAGCCACCTCCCTGGGTGCCTGCAGCCACCACCCACTTCTTGTACTCGTGGAAAACGATGTAGAGGATGTGCCCGGCGATGCTGTTGAGGGCATATGCGTTGACCATGGGCCTCAGGAAAGACAGGAGGGTGCTGACCACGGCGGTGACAACGATGAAGCAGATGAACCGGGACCTGGGGGGGAAGGGCGCGGCTACAGAGGAGGCTGTTGGGTAGGGAGAGGCCTGGAGGTTCAGGCAGGGCCCGAAGGCCTGTGGCTGAGGCAGATGGGAAGAGGGAAGGGGATCGGGGGAAGGCCTTGAGGCTCCCAGGGGAGTTCAGCAGAGGTCCCCAGGGGCCCAGAAGCATCAGATGAGACATCCCAGGGGGCCCAGGTGAACCCGAGCAGGGGCCGGAGGGAGTCCTGGGGCAGGGGTACTAGGATGCCATGAGGGTCTCAGGGAGGCTCAAGAGGACTTAGGTCATCAGAGGGGACCAGGGTCCGGGTGAGTTCAAGGGAGGAAGCGCAGGGCCCCAGAGGCCAGTGAGAGAGGTGTCTCAGAAGGCTCAGAGGTCCAAGCAGGGTCAGGAGAGAGATTCAGAGGGGTCTCGGGTCAATAGAGGGGTGCAGAATCCTAGGAAACACTCCAGGGAGCCCAGGTGATGGGCTTGGGGGAGCAGTCCCTCTGACCCAGGTAAGCTTGGGGTCCTGGGACACCCAGGTAGGCTCAGACAGCATCTGGAGAGGGTTCCCAGGTTATCCAGGTAGGATCAGGGAAGGATTTCCAGGGGAGGACTTGGTGTCCTGAGGACACTCAGAAGAGGGGTCCCTGGAAGCCCATTTAAGTCAGGCAGGGTCAGGAGAATATCCTTAGGTGGTCAGGGGTGGGATTCCAAGGACTCTAACAGGGCTTGGGGAGGGGACCCAGGAGCCCAGGTGGGTGCTGGTGGGATCGACAAAGGGCCAGTCCCTGCCCCACCTGTTCTCCCCCAGGAAGGTGGGAAAGTAGCAGCGGGGCATCCATATACTGTAACCACTGGCCAGTAGCCACAGAATAGAGATCTCATCCAGCAGCTGGCCCAGGAAGCTGAGGGTCATGTGGAAGTACGTGGAGAACAGGCCTGGAGCAAGAGACAAAGGCAGGTGGTCAAAGGGGCTGTGACTCCCCGCCCCTACCACCCCACTGTCGCAGATCCCCACTTACCTACAACCATGAAGAGGATAAAGGTGACATAAGAGTAGCGGGAGCGTTTCTGGGCATAGGGGTGCATCAGAAACATCATGAGAGGCCCAAATATGAAGAAGGTGACATTGCTGAACTGGAGAAGAGGAGGAATGGGGAGGGGATGGTCAGGCAGGGTAGGCAGAGGAGGGCTGCCCCTCTGTCCAAACGGTCAGACATCAGCCAGTGGGTCACTTGCTCCCTTTAAGACAATCAATCAACCCAGAGGTTGTCAGTCTTTCAGCTGATCTTGACAGTCAACTGGTCATCAATAATGGCACTCCATCCATTATTCTGTAGGTTCATCCATTCATTGAATGAATGTGGCAGAGACTACCTACTAACCTTCTACACACCATCTCCTCCTTTTTCTTTTAGAAGTGATATTCCCCAAAGTTTAGCTGGGCACACAGCTACTCAACTAAAGACTACATTTCCCAGCCTTCCTTGCAACTCATCGTGTGTCCTTGTGACCTGGTCTGGCCAATGGGATAGGAAAGTAAATGAATACGTTATCTCCTGGCCAGTACTTAAGAAGCAATTTAAGGCTTGCCCTCCCACTTGCTGTGGACTGAAATGCAAATGTGGTGGTCATGAATAGGCCTTGGCCTTGTAGACAAGGAAAGACAATGTAGAGTTGCCAAGTAGAGATGAGCCTTTCTTACCAAACCTTATCTGGATCACAGACTTCAAAGCAGAATAAAAGTTACTGTTTCAAGCCACTAAATTTTACAGTGAGTTGTTATGCGGCAGTAGCTAGCTGAAACAAAAAGGAAATATTACTGAAGGCAGGATGGGTAGGAAAAACTTCCCAGGAGAGGAGGAAGGGACACAGAGGCCAGCAGATATGGCTATGTCTTGTTCAAAACCCCACAACTGAACAGTTATGTTGTTTGACCAGGTTACCTGTCTCTCTATAGTTAGACACCTACCACATTCCAGGCCCAGGCAATGTTTATTACTACCAGAATCTTATCTCAGCCTCAAACCAACCATACTGGGTAGGTATTAGCATAACCATGTTATAGAATAAGACACTGGTTCTCAGAGTGGTCAAGGTTTGGCCCAGCTCACCCAGGTGGTAAGTAGTGAATCTGGGATTTGAAACCAGATCCCATGTAAGTGTCTTGTGTAAGAATCAGAGTCCTGTTTATCACAGCAGCAGAAACTATTTCATAGGCTCCATTCAATGTTTGAATAGCATATGGGTCAAAGTAATAACTAACAATGACCACTAAGAATATGGCAATAAGGGAGAGAGTGGGGATTGCAACCCACCAATCATCCTCCCTTCTTCCTCATTAACCAAACTGTGATTTGATTTAGTATTAGGAGTTCATGTCCTTCTTGGGAAGAAGGCCCCAGACAGAACCAGCAAAAGAAAAACAATTAGTGCAAGCAAATCTGTTTCTTCCCTTCTTCTAACTTGGCCACTCAATTAAAGACTACATTTCCCAGATTCCCTTGCAGCTACACATGACCATGTGACTAAGTTCTGGCCAATGAGACATTGGTTGTGTTCTTAAAGGCAAGGGCGCGCCTCCCGGTAGTCCTTTCTGCTGGAATGCGTAAGTGGCAGGGTAGCTTCTTGGGCCATAGGGATGAGGGCAATGGCCTAGAGATGGCAAAACAACCATAGAGAAGGAGGCTCCTGGGTCCCTGGCACCACAGAGCTTTCATACTAGCCTTGGGAAGCTTATGATTAGATGTTATGTAAAGGAAACATAAATCTGTATCTTCATTAAACCACTATTATTTTAGAACTCTGCCACAACAACCAAACCTTTACCTTACGTTATATAAACCCCCTTTCTCCCTTGCTCAATAAACCCGAATTTTGTTCATGCATCAGCAGGGCATGGCCCTCAGGAAGACAGGATTTAGCTGCAGGCCGTGAGTCAGCCCATTGCAATGACTGGTTAAGGAATGGATGTGTGATATAATTCTGACTAATGAAGCATGATGGAAGTCCGATGGACTTCTGGGAAAGTTCTCTTTACCAGTGAAAAGGCCTTGGGACATTGCTGTGATGTTTAAATGCGGTAGCCATTTTGCAACCTTGAGGAAACAAGGCAGAGAACAAAAACAAACTGTCCAGGACAGTGGTTCTCAAACTTTTTGTTCTCAAGCCCCTCTTACATCTTTAAATGTCATTGAGGAACTCAGAGTGTGTTTATGTGAGCTACATCTTTCAAGATTTACTGTCTCAGAAAGTAAAACTGAGGGATTTTCAAAACACAGGTCCACATAAGTACACGTTCCCTTGGCCGTCAGAAAGATGGTGTCATCTCCTGCCACGAAGCCACTGGAACCCCACTGTGCTCTCATGAGATAATCAGAGTGAAAAAGGCAGATAATATCTCTTCATATCACCATGAAAATTATTTTGACCTTGAGGAACTCAAGGGGGGGTCCCTGGCAATATTTCAAGAACCGCTTCTCTAGGGACGCAGAGCAGAAAAATGGAAAGAACCGAGTAGCCTGATGTTGTGGAGCTGCTGAGTTAACCTATTCTGGAACTATCTACCTTCAAACTTCCTCTTATTTTTTTAAATAAGATATTGTCCTTTCTATTAAAGCTGTCTTTAGTTGGGTTGTTTTGTTTGAAACCAGAGCGTCCCAGTTCATGGGCCTCAGAATCCCAGGGACATGGGTTGAGATCCATCTCCCTCCCTCACTAACTATGGGTCGTCGAGCAGGTGAGTTCAATGCCCTCCTCCCCTCATGTCTGCATTTGAGACATCTGCACAAGGCCATCTGCCTGTTCGTGTTCTTGCCCCAAAGGTCCCCGAGCCTTACTAGCCTATGAATACAATTAATGTCATAAGAAAATTTGCACCAGAATTTCAAAGGCTCAGAATTTCCAACTGCTCAAGCAGGACTTCAACGCCCTTCAAGGTCTCCCCCAGGTATCTCTGAGCCACCGTGAGTACCTCACATGAGCTCAGAAACAAGTGTGATGGTCTTCCTCCACCAGCCAACTTGAGGCCAGCCAGCTTGCTTGCACCATTACAGCCTCCCACCCCAGGTCTCATAAAGGTCTCCTCCATTGCCTGTGGCCCGTCTTAGAAAGTGCAGAAATGGCACTCTGTTAGCTGAGGAGCTTTGTTATTTCTCAGAACGCCGGTCTTAAGGATGCTGGCTCAAAATACAGAGCCCAGTGGTGGGTGTGGGAAAATAGTCACCCAATACAAGGTCACCACCTATGGGCCTAGGTCCTGGGTGTCAGCACAGGTTCCCAAGGCAGAAGTTCTCTTAGTTCTAGGGAAGCCCACAGCTGTCTTTGGGTGACGGTGAACCAGCTCAAAGTACAC